AATAAATATTTTTAATTAAAATTAATAAAAATAAATTAAAATAATTAATATATATTTTTAAATAAAAGACCTTCCTATCTATTTCAAATTTCAAATTACTTTTACAAACAATTTTAAATTATTTTATCCATTAATTGATGACAAGACCCTCGAAAATCGAAAATTGGATACAAAGGATTAAAGTAAATCAGAAAGCAGGGACAACATAGTAAAATCACCCTGCGCTAGAAAACAGGCAGTCACACACACACTGGCTTCATTTTCATCCGCGAAACCCAAAGTTCCTTTTCTCCCTCTCCCTCTCCCTCTTCCTCTCCGATACAGGAGGCACAGATACATGTAAATCGGGAGTTCTGTGGTTGCAGAAACCCTAACATTGTGAGATTCTGATCTGAAGGAGAAATGTCGTCTAAGGGGAAGGGGAAGGCGGTGGCTTCCGGCAAGCGGAAAAACATCAGTAGCGGCGAAGAGACTGGTCGGAAGCGGAAGAACCGAGGCGTCCTCCAGTTCTTCGAAGATACTGCCGATATCGGCGACACCGATGACAGCGAAGACAGTGATTTTCGAGATGGTATGTGTCTAGCGATCTTTATCTTTTGACTAGGTCATTTTGCTTCTTTACCATTACTGTGGTTTTCGCAAGGCATTTTGGTTTTGGTTTTCTATTCCTGGGTTTTTATAGGTCGTTTGTGGTTATTTATTTGAGATTGAGAAAGTGGAATGCATGTTTTCTTTGAGGTCCAGGTGGAGCTGTTTTCTGGGACATGAAAGCTTCAGTATAGAAGACTGAAGCTTTATGTTACTGCTTTCTCTGTGCTTCTCGACTTTCCTTTTTTGGGTGGGTTGTATGCGTTTTTTTTTTTGTATGGAGCTATCTGCTGAGAATAATTTCCAGTTCTAATAGAAAGTTCAAGCATGTTTATGGAGTTATAGTCATCATCACTGTGTTTTTTGTTGTATTTTTTTATGAAAAGATTCACTCTCTGTACTCGTTACCAATTCTTAATTTATTTTGTTCTGCATTTCATTTCTACTTTATGATGGACAATTTTTGGGTGGTTAATCGCAGATTTTATGGAAGAAGAACCAAAGCTTAAGGTTAAGAGTGAACCTGGAAAAGTCCATAACCTTCCATTTTATCCCAAGGAAGAGGTGATAGATGAGGAAGAGTTTGATAAGCTGATGGAAGAAAGATACAAGGATGGTGCGGGGTTTGTTAAATATGCAGAAGATTCTTATGAGGACAAGCAATCGATTGAAAGGAATTCTTTAATGCCTTCTGCAAGGGATCCCACAATATGGAAAGTTAAATGTTCTGTATGTTGTTTGCTGCCTTATTAAATGATTCATCCCCTTTGATATGCTGATTTTTGACGAACCTTTTCATCCTCATTCTCTTTCTTCCAATTTTTCATTGTGTTTACACAAGATTTCTTGTTGTAGATTGGACGTGAGAGGCATTCAGCTTTCTGTCTCATGCAGAAGTTTGTAGACTTGAAATCCTTAGGCAACAAAATGCAGATAATGTCTGCCTTTGCTGTTGATCACATCAAGGGTTTTATTTATGTTGAAGCTGATAGGGAATGTGATATTGTGGAGGTAACTTGAAATTTGTTACTTGAAAGGGTTGGTTGTTTGCTTATTTACAGTGCTCTAAGACATTCTTCTGCATGGGCTAACACTAGCTAATTGTAACTATCTGGCTATAATCTTTATCTTTGGAGAAGCTTGTTAACCATCTATGTATTTCAGGCATGTAGAAGTCTCTGTAATATATATTCTTCTCGATTGGCACCGGTTCCTAAAAATGAAGTTACTCATTTGCTGTCTGTGCGGAGTAAACAAAGCGATGTTTCTAAGGGTATGTGGGTTCGTGTGAAGAGTGGAAAGTATAAAGGGGACTTAGCAGAGGTACAGTTTTTGCCTCACTGGACTATAGCTGCTTTATATCAGATATATATATATATGTATATAAAGTTATCGTTAGCATGGCTGAAAATCTGTTTTGTAGGTTGTGGCAGTCAACCAGGATCGAAGAAAAGCAACAGTTAAACTTGTGCCAAGAATTGATCTACAAGCATTGGCTGGAAAATTTGTAATATGATTCATATTCTTACTCATGCTCTTTTATTTTCTACTACTGTTGCTTTTCCAAATGTTTTAAGTATACTATTGTATCAATAAGTGGTTACTGCTTTATAAGTATTTCTCCAATTAGGAGTTCAGTCGAAGAAAGAATGAGAACCTTGGAGCCAGTTGTGATTTGAAAAGAAAAGCTTGACTATGATGGGTTTTGGAATTCCCAAGAGAGAAATGCAACAGGACACAGTAGTTTGACTATTTTTTTTCAAATTTTTTAGTGACTTGCATTTTATTAACAAGCGAATGGTAATAGATGGATATGTAGTTGTCTTGATCTGTATGCAAAGTGAAAGGATTCTGTAATATCTAACATTGAATTATGATTGTTTAAACTGCATCATTTAAGGTGGACAATTAATTTTTGGCATCTTTAATAGCAACAGCAATAGTGCACTACACCACCGTACAATTTCAATTCGTTTCTTAATTTCCTAACTTTTTTTAGTAAGCAACATGAGCAAAATAGCTGAGATCATTGATTTATGGCTAGTTTTCTTTTCATTAATTGGCATTCTTGATCATAGTATTTTAAGCTATTTCACTGTGGCATTCTGCAATTATGTCTGCTTGCGGAAAAATTGTTAGTGGAGACATGGATGTTTTCCTCTTGCAGGGGCACTGATATTTTTCTATATGAGATCTATTAAGTAATTTATTTCATGATTACAGGGTGGTGGGATTTCGATGAAGAAAGCTGAAACCCCAGCTCCAAGATTGATTACTTCTAGTGAACTTGAGTAAGCTATAGTCTTTTATGGTTGCTTCTTCTTCTTCTTCCTTCCTTCTTTTTTTTTTCAGAACCTGTGGTTCATGTATGCTTGTGTATTGACTGCAGGGAGTTTCAGCCTCTCATTCAACGTAAACGAGATCGTGAAACTGGCATGGAATTTGATTTTCTTGATCGTCTGATGCTCAAGAATGGTTTTCTATACAAAAGAGTACCTATTGATTCATTAAGCTTCTGGGGCATTATTCCTTCTGAAGAGGAGCTCTTGAAGTTTACATCTTCTGAAAATAATGAATCTGATGATGTAGAATGGCTTTCGCAGCTCTATAGTGAAAGAAAGAAAAAAAGGACTCTGAAATTAGAGGAAGGAGGTGAAAAAGGAGAGGGTTCATCAGGTTCTAACTTGGAGAATAGTTTTGAACTTCATGATCTTGTGTGTTTTGGGTAATTCCTGATCAGAAATATTCTAATATCCATTTCTTATTTATTTATTTTTTATCAGCAGCCAATATCCATTTGTTATTGATCTGTTTTACATTCATTTTATTTCCATTTCAGCCGGTCTGGGAAAGATTTTGGTCTTATTGTTGCCATGGAAAAAGATGATTGCTACAAGGTATGTTCTTCTGTTTCTCCATTCGTGATCTTATTAGTAGCTGCTGAAATTTTGTTGCATGCTTCAGATCTTAAAAGAGGGTTTAGAAGGACCTGTTGTGGTAAATGTTGGAAAGCACGAGCTAAAAAGTGGACCACTGGATGTGAAGTTCAGTTCTATGGACAATCACAAGAAGAGCCTATCAATCAATGATACTGTCAAGGTTTTGGAAGGTCCATATAAGGTCTGACAGCAATCTCAATTTGGGATCTCATTTTATTGGATGTTATTACTAGCAGATTCTGATATGCTTTAAGTAAATAAATAAATAAATAATTATACTAGTTTTTCTCACTTTACAGGATAAGCAAGGGATTATAAAGCAAATATACAGAGGGGTCATATTTCTGTATGATGAGAATGAGACAGATAATGGTGGTTTCTTCTGCTGCAAATCACAAATGTGTGAGAAAATCAAGCCTTTTATAGATCCATGCAGTGAGAAGGTTGTAAAATTAATTCCTGATAGATTTTCTCATCCTGTCCCCCTCTTTGAATTCTGATGTTGCTACAGTGAATTTTCCATTTTTTTCATACAGTGTGGTGAGAAAGGTTTTTCAGGTTTTGAAGATTTCTCGTCATCTCCTAAATCCCCATTGTCACCTGAAAAGCCTTGGCAAGCAGATGAAGTGAAAACTGATTGTATGTTTTCTAGCATGTTATTCTCTAGTTTTAAGTGATTACTTTTCTTTATGCCTCTACTCAAATTAATCATTTCAAATGCAGTCAATCGGGGGGAAAGGGATGGCATGTTTTCAGTTGGTCAAACTCTACGAATCCGAGTGGGTCCTTTGAAGGGGTACATTTGTCGTGTCTTAGCTGTTCGTCGTTATGATGTTACTGTGAAGCTTGATTCTCAGCAGAGGGTTCTCGCAGGTTTGTGAGTGGATGCATAATCCCTTTTTATGGGGTTTTATGCATAACTTTCACATATTTTTTATGCTTCTGCAGTTAAAAATGAGCACCTTTCTGAGGTTCACAAGAAAAGCTATGCCACACCTACAAGGTACATGTTTGCAATGTGAACAGTTTTTGTTGAATTTTGTTTACATTCATAGTTTATATGAACAATTCTGAACAGTAATTTTGTTTTTTTAAAAGCGAGGACAATGGGTCCAGTTCATTTAAACCATTTGATCTGCTTGGAACTGAAGGCGGTTCTGGAGGTGAGAAATTCTTTTTTCTAGAAGTATCAGAGTTATTATTTTCTCTTAATAGTCATTTTAGTTGCATTAGCTATGTCAGGTTGGTTACATGTACTTGCTTTTAAGTTCTCCTTTTTTTATTAATGCTGATCAAACAAAGATGTTTATCTGTAATGTGGAAGTTCATGTATGATAATACATTTAGAAAGGGTGATTCTAAAAATAGTGAAAGCTTTCTCAGCATACCTTCATGTTTGTCTTGTTTCACTTTTCTGACTTTTTGGGTGTTTGTTGTATCATCTTCCTTCTTTCTTTTTGGAAGGCTGGATGGATAGAGCTGGAACATCTGTAGAGGGCACTGGCTGGAATACTGGAGAACGATCTGGTGAAGGGTAAAACTTCTAGTCTGTTTCCTTACGAAGAAAAATTTGTAGACTAGAATGACTTTATAATTGCAGAATATTTCTGCCATCAGCAATTGCTGATGCCAAGATTAACTTTTTCTATTGGAAAGAGCTTCTCATTACCATATGCAGTTCCATATGTTATGCATGAAATGATGTTTCTTGCTTTCTATGACATTACTAAATAACTCAAGGATCACATTCTATGTCATTTGAATTCTTCTGTGTATATCTATGTTGCAAAAAACAAAATTCTTTATGCAATCCTGTCAGGATGTGGCTGTTTATTTCATTTATGTTGTACCTGAGTGACTAAGATGTCACTGCTGAGTATAGTGAGGAGGATTGAAAAAAATGAGGGAACTCTATTGAGTCCACCCTTCTTACTGAAGGAGCTTATTTTTGGTAGATAATTTTGTGTTGGTGTAGTTATTGGTTTGGTGAAATCTATCTTGATTTGTGTATTCTTTTGCATAGGCACAAAGGATTCATGATAGGCAGTTTATGTTGCTACTTGCTAGAGCTGTTTGCTAACATTGTTTATTTGATATACCCAACTTATCTCCTCACATGTTTAGCATTAGCACCTCAGGCAGGGTTCTTCATTTTGTTTTCAGATTTTCTTACATTAATAGCTTAGTTGGTTTTCTTACATTTTCCAAAATCCTCTTTTCAATCTGTTTACTCTTTTTGTCTATTGTTACTTGCATTACTGTCTGCAATCTTAATTTGGTTGCACTTTTGGATAGGAGTTCTTGGCCTAGTTTCACTGGGGCTGGTGGTTCAGCATTTGGAGAGGATGAATCAAAGAAAGGTGTGGTTGATCCACTATGTTAGTAAATAATTACACGTTTTTGTAAAGAATATATAGGATGCTTACTGGTATTCTCTATTGTGGTATGCTGAAGATGGTGAAGATTCTGCCTGGGACTGTAAGAAGACACCAAATCAGAATTCGTCTTGGGGTGCAGCAGTTGGTTCAGATGATAATGGCCCAAAGAAAGGTATGACTTGTTGCACCATTTTGTTGATTTAAGAGTGAGTGAGTGATTGTTTGTGTTACTGCTGGATAATGTGCTTAATGGTAACAGCTGACAATAAAACTATTGCAGGTACTGTGCAAGGTGGTGGTTGGGACTCTTGGGGCAAAAAGAAGGATTGTGGGGATGGTGATGGAATGTCTTGGGGCAAAGCTTCAGAGGTCCAAGACAAAGACACTGCTAAGGCTTTTCAGGACAATTCTTGGGGAAAAGTCACTGAAAATTCAAATAGCGGCTGGGGAGATGCTGGTGGGTCCTGGTCCAAACGGGGAGCAGAGAACAGTGAAGAACAAAGTGGCTGCTGGAACTCAGGCTCAAGGGATACTGCTGCCAAGCAGGAGGGTAACTGGGGAAAAAAAGGCAACATGGATGCTGGACCAAGTGATGCTGCTAGAAATGAAGAGTCAGCATGGGGTAGCAAAAGCAGTTTGAAGTCTGGAGCCAATGACGTAAAGACAGGATCTGACTGGGGCAAGAAAAACAGTTGGAACTCTGAATGTGATGGAGCAAAGCAAGGTAGTACTTGGGGCAAGAAAGAAGGGAATGCAGGATCTGGCAACACAAACCAAGACTCTAGTTGGAGCAAGAAAAGGGACTGGAACTCAGGATCTGGTGGTGCGGGCTTGGATTCCAGTTGGGGAAAGAAGAATGATGTTGACCAGAATTCTTCTTGGGGCAAGAAAAACAGTTCCAGTTCTGAATTTGGTGGTGCCAACCAAGAATCTAGTTGGAGCAAGAAAAATGATGCAAACCAGGATTCCAGCTGGGGCAAGAAAAGAGACTGGAACTCAGGATCTGGTGGTGCTGGTGAGAATTCTGGTTGGGGAAAGAAAAATGTTGACGAGAATTCTTCTTGGGGCAAGAAAAACAGTTCGAATTCTGATTTTGGTGGTGCCAACCAAGAATCTAGTTGGAGCAAGAAAACTGATAGGAACTCGGGATCTGGTGATGCAAACCAGGATTCCGGCTGGGGCAAGAAAAGAGACTGGAACTCAGGATCTGGTGGTGCTGGTGAGAGTTCTGGTTGGGGAAGGAAAAATGCTGTTGATGAGAATTCTGGTTGGGGCAAGAAAAACAGTTCAAACTCTGAATCTGGTGGTGCAGACCAAGAATCTGCTTGGGGCAAGAAAAATGATTGGAGTTCAGGATCTGGTGATGCAAACAAGAATTCTAGTTGGGGAAAGAAAAGTGATATGATGTCAGGATCTGGATATGCAAATCAGGACTCTGCTTGGGGGACAAAAGGCAGTTGGAACTCTGGGTCTGATAGTTCAAGCAAAGATTCTGGTTGGGCCAATAAGAGTAACTGGGGATCTGGTGATACAAACCAGGATGCCAGTTGGGGCAAAAAACGCAACTGGAATTCTGGAAATGAAAACGACCAAACTGATGCTTCCAGTAACAAGGGAAGTGGTGGAAGTTGGAGAGGAGGTTTTGGAAGTGAAGATGGGTCAGACAGGGGGGGCTTTAGAGGCAGAGGAAATTCTGACAGAGGTGGTTTTCGAGGTAGAGGTAGATTTGACAGAGGAGGTTTTGGAGGGCGGGGTAGTGATAGAGGAGGGTTTGGAGGTAGAGGTAGTGATAGGGGTGGCTTTAGAGGTAGAGGTGGGGATAGAGGTAGCTTTGGAGGTAGAGGCCGTGGAAGGAGGGATCAAGGTGGTGGTTCTGGTGAAGACAGGTCATTCAGCTGGAACAAAGGGGAGAACAGTGGTGATGGCTGGAAAAGTAATGGTGGAGGTAAGTGGAACCAAGGAGGCAGCGACAATAGCCAGCGGAAGAGTTGGCAGTCTGGAAATGATGCAACTACAGACCAGGGATCTGCTTGGGCTAAAAATTCAGCTGGTGGATGGAACAGGGAAGGTACAAGCAGCAAACAAGCTAGTACTTGGAATAGCCAAGGATCATCTGGTTGGGGAAAGGATGCTGGTGATGGTAAAGATACTGCTGGTGGATGGAACAGTGGAGGTGGCTCAACAAACAGCAAACAAGCTAGTACTTGGAATAGCCAAGGATCATCTGGTTGGGGAAAGGATGCTGGTGATGGTAAAGATACTGCTGGTGGATGGAGCAGTGGAGGTGGCTCAACAAACAGCAAACAAGCTAGTACGTGGAATAGCCAAGGATCATCTGGTCAGGGAAAGGATGCTGGTGATAGTAAAGATCCTGCTGGTGGCTGGAACAGTGGAGGTGGCTCAACAAGCAGCAAACAAGCTAGTACCTGGAATAGCCGAGGATCATCTGGTTGGGGAAAGGATGCTGGTGATAGAAAAGATCCTGCTGGTGGCTGGAACAGTGGAGGTGGCACAACTAGCGGCGAACAAGCTAGTGGTTGGAATAGTCAAGGATCATCTGGTCAGGGAAAGGATGGTGGTGATAATAAAGATCCTGTGGGTGGCTGGAACAGTGGAGGTGGCATAACTAGCAGCAAACAAGCTAGTGGTTGGAATGGTCAAGGATCATCTGGTTGGGGAAAGGGTGGTGGTGATGGTAAAGATCCTGCTGGTGGCTGGAACTAACTCAGTGGAAACAAATGGATAATAATGTAGATAACCTTTCTGCTTTTTGCACAGTTAAGGTGGGATTAGAACCTTGGTGCCATTGCTATCGAAGCAAATGATTAATGATCCATGGATTTTGAGACATTATGTAGATGAACAAAACATCTTTGTTTCGAGGCAGTATGTCTGCAGTAGTTAAGCAGGCATGGCATGCCCTTAAGTAGTAGTTGTTATCTGTTATTTTGGCTTTGTCCTAACTGACCTTGTTTAGAACATCTTTATGTCGGTTTTCATTATGTTTCTTTCTAGTCATTGTTGTTACCCATTCTGTTTGATGGCACAAGGCCAACGGCCCTGTGACTGTGAGCTTCTCAGGGAGTTTTACAAAGGGTTCTTTTTGGCACGTTACTATGGTTGTCATGATGTTCAATTTAGGCTTGTTTGTTTATCAAAAAATTATGGTTTAACCTCAATTTTTAAGCCTGAAAGTTGGAATTATGTACCATAAATAAAAAGAGAAAAAGAAAATGGAAGAAAGTTGGATTTATAATTGCCTGTCGGTAACAATTAGACGAGTCATGAGGCAATGATCTGGCACCATTTCTGAGTACTCTTTTCATTTCGAATTCCCACTACATAACGGCAACCCCACGTCATCTCCCTAATGCAGCTTAGCTGTATTATATTGGAAATTTGAAATGCATGTGGGAACGGCTGAAAAACTAAACAACGCTTCCATGTCAATGTGTAACCGATAACGGTTGTTAATTCGTTGACCTTTTTTAGTTCTCTTATTCTGCAAATCCCTCTAAACTATAAGAGTGTGTTGCAGTGCACTCAACTTTTAGTTACGATTAAAATTTCATTTTGGTCTTTTTACTTTAATAAAAACTTCTTTTTAGTCCTTTTACTTATAAAACCTCTTTTTTAATTTCTAAAGTTTGTTATCTAATCATTTTTTAGTCCTTTTGTTATCTTTTTGCACCCATGATATATTAAATAATAAAAATTTCGAAATTGAGAAATTAATAATGGTTTTTATTTTTTGAGTAGAGAAACAAAAAAAAAAAGTCTTTTTTAAGTCTTTTTAGTTCTTCTACTTTGGAATTTTTTGACATTTAATGTGCCATGTGTTAACAACATAATGTTAAGACTAAAAATGAGCCAGATAATAAACTTTTAAAATTAAAAGGAGGTTTCTTTAAGTATAGGAATTAAAATTAGATTTTTTGTTAAAGTAAAAAGATCAAAATAGGTTTTAATCTTTAATGGTGGAGGAGTGGCCTTTCAATATTAAAAGGTTTTGCTTTTTTATCTATAATTATAAAAAGTGCAGTTCATAGCATAGAGATTGAGGAAGCAAGGAAGTTTGTACCGTATCGTATTGGTTGGTATAGTTGGTATGTACTGATTTTTGGAGTGGACTGAAACGGAATAAGTTTGAATTTCATTTTGGTCAAAATTTGGTAATTTCGATCAAATTTTGACGTACCAACCGAAATTTCATGTACTAGTCGGTACACCAAAATTTAACCGATACATTATGCAAGAATATTTTTTTTTTAGAAAAAGATTCCCTAGCCAAAATGGCGTCGTTTTGGCTAGGGACGGCTTCTTATTGATTTGAACCCTACAATTTTAGATTGCGCAAATCTTTCCTCTGTTCTCACATCCAACTGTCCTTAACATTCTTCCATTTTTGGTACAATTGCTCGGTACAATTTAATTTAAATTTAAAAAGAATAAATTTTATTTTTGATCCTTAATTTTAATATTTTTTATAATTTTCATTTTTTAACTTTTTTTATGTACTTTTTTTAGTATATTCTTTATATTTTTTAGTTATTCTATTAATTACTCCATTAAGTTTATCTAAATACACACTTTTTTAATCTCTTAATTTAAAATGGATGAACAAAAAATATACATATATTAAAAGTTGAGGGATTAAAAATAATCATTTTAAACTTGTTTTTAATTTTTAAGAATATAATAATTTTAAATATTAGTATCTCTTATTTTATTTTAAAATTTGATATTTAATTTATAAAAATATATTTTTATAATGATAAATTCGAAACGGTACACAAAAAATTTCGATATCCAGTATATACCGTTTTAGTAACAAAATTGATACCGGTACTATATTAATTTCCTCGAGAGGAAGTCCATTTTTATAAAGTTATGAGTATAATCCTGCAAATAAGCATTGCTTAATTTTTATCCGGCCTTTGGAACTCTTCATCCGGTCCCATGGCGCCATTTCCAGCGGCGACGATCTCAACCTCATTCTGCTCCCCCCGGAGTGTTTTATAAATGTCACTCTTGTAAAATTTTCTGGTCCTAAGCGCAAGAATAAACGAAACAAGCACACCAAACAATGTTGCTGCCGTAGTTATGATAAAGGCTAATTTGAAGCAAGCGGTGCCTGTGCAGTTAAGGTCTTGTCCGGGCTTCCTCATGATTCCCAGCGCTGCCATTTGCTTCCTCGCCTCCTTATCGTACAAATTACCGGTCACCTTCACGTTGAGGATGTAGCACCCGATAGGAGTGGCCGTAACCCCCAAGCTGTATAGTGTAGAGTAGTACTTGAGTCCAAAAAGGTCAGAAATTATTACAAGAATCAACGACAACTGAGCCCCGAAACAGAATCCGATGATTAAGGATGCAACATAGAGGCTGCCGGGGACATTGAAGGCAATCAAGAGGTGACCGAGGCAAGAGAGGAGCATGATGAGGGTGAGCATCAGAGGGCGGGGAAATTTGTACTTATCCAAGATGATTTCTGAGACGAAACCCGATATAGTTCGGCCGAGATGACTCCATATGCTAACAAGGGAAACAAAAGTACTTACGCTTTGCCTGGGGTACCCCTGGGAGGCTCCGATCTGTCCCAAGTTGTTGATGGCAGTCAAAAGTCCTCCGAAACCACATATTGTGGCCAAGAAGAGGATTAACATGTCAATACTAAAAAGTGCCTGCAAAATTACAACACAAATTCATTCAACTTCTCTACTCGGGTTAAGATCAAGTATCCAAATTCATAATTCCAGAATTTGCTAAACGACAGGCTTTCAACTTCTCATAATAGTTTTACAGACCTATACCAAGCACTCTGGCGTGAAATTAGTGATTTAATTAATGTATTATATCTTTATCTAACTTTAGTTTTACAGATCATTTTTTTCAAAATAAGAGATTTTGAATTTGAATAGCATGATATATAAGTGAAATCAGATAAAAAATAAAAGATGATTTCCTTTAATTATACAATCAAGATAATAAAAAATAAAAAATATTTTATATTTATTATATTAGTCATAATTCAGTTAAATTGAAATTTTAACTGATTCAACTGGTTAGATTGATCAAATAAAAAATTAAAAGGTAAAAAATGACGAGCCTCAATAGTTCTCAAGTGGTCTATCTTATTTATTTGCTTATAAAAAACATAAAAACCTACCTGCAGAATAGTGTAGTCATCCCCTCTATTTGGTGGTTTGAAAGCAGTTTTCCAGCATGAAACGTTTGCTTGATCTTCAACCCTTGCTTCAATGGTGCTGGACATAGGTGCTGGCTGGTCTAAAGGGGCTGCTATTTCTTGGGTTGGCTTCTCGATGATTACTTTCACAGGAGAAGGATCATCGAGGACAGCTTGTTTCGCTTTCCAAATATTCAATTCCTCTGCGATCACAATCGCTATCGGCAAAAACAGCATAATAAGGACCACGGTGGCGCTGCCACCATATTCTCCCTGAGTGAAAGTCACCTTATTTTCTACAATGATTATAATCATCAAAAACGCGGCCAGACCAATAGAAATGTATAGAAACTTGTAAAACACCTTCAACTCGTTCGCCTGATGAGTCACCTTCGTGAATTGAAAACTCCGAACAAAAACCAACGATATGGCTGCCGGTAACCACCCAATAAACAAGATCAATCCCTTAGAGTTATCCTCGTAAATAGCATGGTACAGTTGTGCCATTATAGCGCCGCTTAGGCCAACGTAACCCTTGAGAATCCCCAAAACGATGCCGCGACTCGTCGGAAAATTTTTTACACACACAATTAAAGATCCCACGGTGGCGAACGCTTGAGAGTTGTTGCCAACGCAGATGTACAGACACATTTGCCAGACTGCCGGTCGAGCGATTCTTTTGGTCACGGCGAGCCAAATCATGAAGTAACCAAAGAAGTTTAACACGGTACCTACAGAGAGCATGAACCACGGCGGGGTTATCTCACCTAATAAGCCGGAGAGAAGACAGACGTTGGTGCCAATGTCCTTGAAGAAACTGACGAGGTTGAGGGCAGTCTGGTCGTACCCTAGGGAGTCCTTGATGTCGCCAGAGTACATGCCGAACATGTAGGTGGAGCCGGCTGCTGACATGATGAGGACTGAGCCAAAGACCATGAGCCATGGGCCAGTTAGGAGTTGGATGGCGAAAGACTTGATGTTGGAGAGACCTCCGCGGCCTCCACCACCACCACCACCACCACCACCACTACCAGCTGGTACCACCATTTTGATGAGGTTTGAAACAAGTTTTGTTTGGAACGATGGGAACTGAAAAGGGCTTTAATTAAAAACATGTTAGTGGAGATATTAAGGGAGGAATAAAATACACAGTTGAGGCAACATCCAAAAGCAAAAAACATAGTCATCGTGCATGATTTAAAAGTTCACTGCATGCAGTAAATAAAACTAGGACAATTCGCAGATTGCATCTTTGTGAATCATAATCATAATCCACTAGGGACTAGAAAGTGGGTTCTATTCTAGCCCTAACATTGGTTTATTTTTTTATCAGAAAACTGTTCGTTCTGTGCAAACTGCAGTGCTTACTTCTTATAATTATTGGTTGAGCGGCAGGCCCCAAAAAGTAGTGCAGTCTGGGAACATCATTCTCATTTTTTTTAGCTTATATATATATATTCAAAAAATCAGAACGTTGCTGGCGTCGTGGCCGTCTCGATTTTTATATATATATATATATATATATATATAAGAGTTGGTGTTTATCCGTTTTATTTTTAAAAATTTAAAAGAAAAAATGAAAAAAAAAATCACTTTAATGTATACTTTAAAAATAAGGTAGTTAGTTTTTTTCAATAAAAATTTTTTAAACGACGTAATTTTGAGATGATTTTCTTCCTAATTTTTAAGAAGTAAGACTGATACTCACTATTTTCATATTTATATATATTTATTTTCCAATTTTGGGTTCATTTACGGCCCACTCTACCTAGTTTTAAGTTGACCAGATCTCAGTGAACACACTGGGCCCTCAGTCCGGGACATGCAGGGCTGAGATTGAGGGTGAGGAGGTAAGTAGAGTTGAGAATGTGTTTGTGGGCCAAGAGATGGAAATTAAGTTTATTGGGCATAAGTTCAGGCCGGCCCAATGCAATGCTGAGTTGGGCTTCTTTTAGTAAAGGGAAATTTGGGTCGAGATTTTAATTGATTAATGGACTGGCCAGCTTGTGGATTGAGAATCATATGGATTTATGGATATAGGGTACTAGAGTCGGATTAATGATTGGATTTCCTTTCCTTTATTTTATTTTATTTTATTTTTTTGGATTTCGTATATTATTTTAATGATTTTTTAACATATCCCTTAAGTACATTTTTATAATAAATATATACTGAAAAATATAAACATTGACATATTAGTTCTTAATGTAAATGCTAAATAAATAAATTTAATTAGATAATTGATAAATTTAATATTAAATTTTATTTATTTAATACAAATTTATGATAAGAGTATGTTTATTATATTTTTAACATGTGTTTTCAGAGTACATATTATATAAAAAAAAATCCTTATTTTAATCATTTGTCCGAGATTAATCCCTCCTCATGTATACCCAAGCTCCCCTAAACTTCTGAGAAAAAATTGTTATAGTTCATTGGTCGTGAGTTCAACACTCGCAAACAGCGTGGGTAAGTGTTCCCACATCACCACCCCCACCCTCCACTTTTTTTTGGAGGGGATACTAATAGCAAGCATGGGACGGTGGTAATCAGAACCATTTTCATTCTCAAACCAAATAAATGAATAAGGAGTTTTTTTACCTGCATCCTAAAGATATAAATTAAAAATTTTGAAAAAATAAAAAATAATATTTAATTTATCTATTATTTAATTAAATTTATTTACATAACATTAACATTAAAATTAAAATTTATTTTTTATATTTTTCTATATAAATTTATTTAAAAAAATACTTTCACGGCATAAGTTAAAAAAATTCATGAATAAGTTCATTCCTTTTGAACCTTCAAGTTCACCACTCTGCGCCAAAAGCATGCCCACTAAATGCAAAATCTCTTAAACACGCTAAAGGATCTTGGATGTTGGGATTTGCTGCACCTTTCCCTTTCACACAATATAGAGAGAGAAGGAATGGAGGCTCTAAAAGCATTCAAAAGACCCCACTAGGGCCGTTTGCCAAAATTCCAAGGCATGTATGGAGACATCCCATGTCCATTGCATCATTTTTAAAAGAGGAGTCCTTTGAAATTGACACCAGGAATCTAACAATCCCACCTCATTCTTATTCACCCCTATCCTATCCTCTCTACAAAAGAATCAACCAATCAACAAGGTGACAATCATAATACCATTCTTACAGGTACATAAAATGCAACCAAACTAACAAAACTAATTAATCTTCTTCTTCTTGCCTTCAATCTTAGATATTGCTGATTTCTTTTTCTTTCTAAGTTCTATGGCAATAGTAATGAGTGTAATGGCAATAGGGCACCATGGTTGGTGATGATTGTGTACAGAATTAAAACAATTAGAAGAGAAAAATAGACCGAGGCTCCGGATGTGGATGAGAGAGGTGCTGCCGCTGCCGTGCCCCCGAATATCATTCCAAAGAAGTCTCCATTATCGCCAGACCCTGAATTCCCGGTGTTAGTGCTGCTGGACCCACTGCCACCATAAGAAACGCCCCCAGTTTCTTCCCTGCTTGCAAATAATTCAGACATTAGATAAAGAATTAGGAATTTATTTACACATAAATTTCACACACTATATTTATACAAAATCTTGACTATTCATTTTTTTATTTTTAACAATTGAGATTTATCATAACTTTTTAGATGAAAAAAATAATTATCTTTAAGAAATACTCTATTTTTAGTAAATTTAATTTGATTTTTTGAACATAAATTTTAAATGAAAATTTAACATATTATATAAATGATAATTCAATTTTTTTTTTTTGATTAAATGAAAATACTCAACAAGAACTTCATAGAAGAAAAAAAAAATTCAATTGTTGTTCATACAAGTTGTTAAATTTTCATATGAAATTTATGTTTAAAAAGTTAAAAAGTTACACTAGGTCTACTAAGAATGAATGAAGGAGGTATGACAAAAAATGAATAAATCTCAACTATTAAAAATAAAAAGATGAATTGATTAGGATTTTGTGTAAATATAATGTGCAAAACTTGTGTGTAAATGTATCTCTACTACTAGATAAATACATGTACCAATATCAAACAGGCTTATTAATGAAGATGACTAATAGGAGTTAATGTTAAATATTCGGAGTTGTTCGCATAAAAACACATCATGTGTGCTAAAGTATATCAGCAAAAATTTGTAATGAGTAGTACATTAAAGAGTAGCAAGTTGGAGTAGTGGGACATGGTAATCAGATTCGGATATGGAGCACAGAAAAGTAGAAAAGCACATGAGAAACAACGTTGTGGTTCACACCAGGAGCAGTGAATCATAAGGACAATATATTTAGAACAAAGCAATTTAAAGAATGCAAATTCATTTTGTTTTCAAGATCAGAGAGAAGAGCAGCAGCCTCATAAAATCCTACCTTTGGCTGCAACTTATGGTCATTTCTTTATATACATGACCCCTAGACTGGTAATAACTTAGATTTACAAAGAACAAACATCCCTTTTAGCTTTAGAAAGAGTTCATTGCATGTCCAGTTAATCTGGTTCAAATTCACTTATATGATTGGATATATTCCCCCACTAGGAAAAGGAACTAGTTTTACTTAAGGATGGAAAGTAGCCAGAGACCAGATTAACTAGAGTGAGTGGTACAGAAGACAGCTAAGAGGCCAAAACTGTAATACAAAAGCAAGGGAATAGGTCTTCCCCTTTACAATATTGATATTGATATTGATGATGATGCTGGGTTGCCCATTTGTGTTTATATCAAAAACAGAAAGTAAGCCCATACTACTTGAATGGGGTCCCACAATAACTTAACTGGAAAGCAGATCCAAAGGGGAATACAACAGTCACTTTTCCATGCAAACACAAAAACCAAACATGCCTGTGTCCTCTCAACCAACTTTTTTTACTTTGCATAAATTTCATGGTTTCTGATTTGGACACCTTTTTGAGAAATCATCAAAGTTCCTAATTAATCAGTAAAAGTATGTTTTGATTAAAGGTTAAGGGCACTGAACAGGGCGGAAGGTATGACTATGGACTTATCCTGGGAGCTATACCTTGTCATCTAGTGAGGTCAAATAAAAAATCCAAAAAGGATCCAACATTAATAAACTAGCTAGGAGCAAAGCTCGAGATATCAGTCATATATACCTGTCATGGTGTATATAATACTAACATGACCCTCCTTTTTGGCAGTCTTACCTGGGTTAGACCACACACAACATTCCATGTAACACATATAATGCACTACTAAAGAGTAAAGACAATTTACCATAATAAAAATAAAAAATGTAAAGACCATGTCAGCTAGATTCCCAACGCACACGCTATCACATGCAAGATGCAACCCATCTCTGAAAATGGAAAAAGCCCTTTTCTTTGTTTTGATGGTCCCTTCCTACTCATTTGCATTTGAGTAATGATGCAGCGGATGAAAACGCGGGACGAAAATGGAGGATGACAAGTGGTGCAAGATTTATATATGTAGTGCAATTACTAATTTGACCTCCTTACATCACTTGTCTTCCCCCATTTTCGTTCTGCGTTTTCATCCGCTGCATCATTACTCTTTGCATTTTGTTTCTTTACCCTAGAGATGGAGACCAGATTAAAGCTAAGCTAAGGAAACAACCAATACTAAATAGTGGTTGACAAGACGACCCTTTCAAAACAACCAAAAGGTGCATTAAATGTGAATCTCGGACTGAAAAGCAAAGTATAAAACAGTGAGGGACGTTTTGGGTATTGCACCTGGGATCGCCAAAGACACCAGAGTTCATGGTGAGTTGGTCAATGAGCCCTGCAGACTTGGGCTCCACACTGGAGGCCTTCAAGTACTGGGCGCTAAGCCCAGGACCCGACGGAACAAAGTATGCTCCATTTACCATCATGTCCCCATCTGTCCTCCAATTCCAATCCGTCCACTCCCTCTCGTCTGTCTCCACGCGCTTCGTCACCTGTTTTTTAATAATAATAATAATAATAATATGTCTAATTTATATATTTAAAACATCAATTAAAAGTGTATTAAATATATATATTTTTATAAATTTAAATTAAAAATAAAAATTAATTTTTTATTTATCAATTATTTAATTAAATTCATAAAATAATAAAATTAATATTAATTTTTATAATATATTTATGAAAAAAATTGTATTTAATATGCACAGGTTAAAAAAAAACTTAATAATAATAATAATAATAAAGTAAAGAAACTACCGTCGGTTGTCAGGTATGGAGCCAACTACGCGCCGACAACGGCCAAAAACTTGCAAGTAGACTAAATTATACAGGCTGTGGTCTAGCCTTTAACTGCTCGTGAAAAGACAGGACCTTTGTACCAACTGTAAACGGCTGGCATGCACTAGCCCTACCATCGTCAGAGTAGCACTAATAGCAGTATTTCATGTGGTCTGTTGTGAAAAT